ATTTTACCACAGCACCCAGCCAGTAAGCAGCTCCCAGGCTGGTGAGGTCCCCAGGATGTGTGCTTGTTCGTCCCGGCCCAAGTCCAATGTTAAACAGGCCCACTAAGATCTGTATAGTCTGTAAAGGATTCAGAACGATTACTGTAAAAGCTTAAAATGATCTTTTAACAGCTGGATGATACATTTCTTTTACTCACCCCAATAGCTGCAGCATCAAAGACCTGCAGCAGATGCAAACAGCAGCAAATCTTTGGACTGCAGCAAAGAACCTTCAGGATGTGACACACTGATGGAAGCATCTTCTCGCTATTTGCCAGCTTCCTTTTTTAATGATGGACCGACACCTAAAACTTCCAAGACGTTTCTGTCCTTTTGTTCAGCAGTGGGAATGTGCCTCCCACCAAAGAAATGTGTCGTCTTGCTACTGACTGGAGGTCAGAGCTCACGCAGTTGGTCTCTCATTTTTGGTTCATGTGTGCATGTGAGGGGTGGGTATTTGCAGAGGACCCACATTTGAATGTGCCAAATTCTCAATGCTTAAAGCAAACAGAGTCACAATTATCAGTCAACAAACCTATCAAATCCAAACATGCAGGTGTGTTAAAGCTGTGGGTGTGCTCTAAGGCAGTGAGATAATGCTTGTGTCCTTTGCCTGCCGTTATTTATTTAGTAACTAGAATATGCAACAGAGGACAAAGTAAAGCATGTTGTGTTTCTGTCTTTTCTGTCTTATTCTTTAATAATACATATTTTTATTAAATACATCTGCTTTTTTAATCTTCCATTCACCTGTGATATGTAAATATTAAGTGCTGTATGATGCAATGGTGGCTTCAAGTGGGACATGGGGAAAAGGTCAAAATGTGACATTTCTTCTGTTGCAGCTAATAAAAAAAGATAACTTGAATGTTGTCATGGTTACTTGGATTATGTACATGTTCCTTAGCTGTTAGTTTCCTTTTGTGACTCCTGTCTCCCTGGTTGTGTCCTTGTGTTTGTCTGGTTTCTCTGTGTTCCCTCTCTTGTGTTATTATATCTGTAGTCCTGCATCCTGTGTTTCTCCCTTTCCTGGTCCCACATTCTCCTCTCTGTGTTTCATCTTTTTGTTTTTCCAGTCTGTTTTTCTTCGCTCCCGGTGTCAAGCTTACGTGTCTGAGTCTCAGTGTGCATGTGTTACTTTCCTATTGTGTATATATTGTCTGTTTCTGCCACTGCTCTTTGTTATATCGTCGTCAATTTTTCCCTCATCCTGGCTGTCCTGTTCATTTAGAGCAAGGGTCCCCAATCCCAGTCCACGAGGGCCGTGTCCCTGCAGGTTTTAGATCTCACCCTGGGTCAGCACACCTGAATCACACGATTAGTTCATTTCCAGGCCTCTGGAGAACTTCAGGACATGTTGAAGTCATTTATCCATTTAAATCAGCTGTGATGGATCAAGGACACATCTGAAACCTGCAGGGACACCGGCCCTCGTGGACTGGGATTGGGGACCCTGATTTAGAGGTTTCCTGTTTAGTTCCTTTTTATTTCTAAGTGTCAGCTTATAGCGACAGACAAATGAAGCTTTCTGAAGCATTGGAACTTGTATCCATAAAGGGTTCATTACTCAAAGTCTTTCGACATAACCTTCTTTGGTAGCATCTGGTGGCCAAAAATATGAAGCAGGTTGAATCCACAACTTAAAAGGAACGGTTTCCTCATGGTTGCCCACTCAAGAGAGCAGAGTTGACAGCTTCTGTTTAATAAAATGTAGCAGTTCTACCTGAAATCATTCTAACATTGTGGAGTTTTGTACACGTTTCTTTTTAATAGTTCCAGTAGACTGAGTAGTAGTACAGGCTTTTTGATCTAAATCCATCACAGTACAGCAAACTAACCTGTTCATCCTGCAGTAACCTGCAGAGCATTTTTAAGCAGCCTATAAATAACACAGATAGTGTTATGAAGGAAAGCTCAGGGTTTAAGTAATCAGCATCATGGGCTCATCCGATTAGAATAAGAATAAGCAGTCATCTAATCATTCACAGGCTTCTCCTTTTATTCTCAAATCAATAAAGCAAAGAAGGAAGGAAAGACACACATGGACTGCCAATGCTGAAAGAAAACAGATTTGAGTTACTCATTACCTTAAACAATACATAAAATAAAAACCCAAACAGAACCTCACCTCTGCTGCCGCCCCGTGTGGGAGTGAAGAAAGAGTGAGCCAAAAGTGAATGCAGTCCTTATATAACGTGTGACAGGCGAGTGCAATTAAGGACAAGCACCACACCCAATCAAAGGTGAGAGAACTAAAGGTGCATCTGGTGAAGTGAGCGGGTGTGCTGGGATGTGCTAAAAGGTGGGTCATTACAACAGGTAGTCTGCCTCAGTTTGATTTGCAGCACCTTTCACAATCTGAAGAAATGTAACGTCACATGTAGCCTACAGACCCAAAAAACAATAACAACCCCCGCCCCCCACTAAAAATAAAGAAATAAAGAAACACTCAAGTAAACTTCAGATACCTGAAAATTCTACTTAAGTACAGTGACAAAGTATGTGTACTTCGTTACTTCCCACCTCTGCTATCACCACCAAAACACGCAGCACAAATCCCGTCAGTGATTCATTTTCTTGTGAACTTTTGGAGGATTGGCGCAGTTACGATTTTCTGTCACGTTCACCTGTTTCTTAAAATTTTAGCAATAAGGCTGTTTCAAGCTTAATAACAATAGTAGTTGTTTAATACTTAAATGCCATCCAAAATTAATTATAATTATCTTATAATATAACACACTTCTTAGAGGTTTTCTGTGCGTCCACTAAAATCCTACGAACAGTCATTAACCTGCATTTCTACAACAACTTGCTGTTTCACTTAATGCCTAAATAAATAGATAAAAATCGGCGCTTTGATTATTATAATCTGTTTCCTTATCCTTAGGTTAATGTGACACGTTTGCTTTCATACTGTGTCCACCAGAGAGCACCGTAATTCTTTTTCAATAGTCCCAAATTTGATGAAGCCTTTGTGGATAAAAGCAAACACTGAAATACATTTTTTGCACGCAGGAATGAATTTTGTTCACTCAAATTCAGCTTTTCTTCGCTCAAAATAAATTTCTCCTCAAAATACAACACTTGCAACTGCAAACTTTTTTTACATGCTCTCATTTTTTTTTACGTGCGCTCAGAATAGTGGCACAAAAATAACGCCATAGCTCTCGAGGCCTGGAGTTCCCCCACCCCTGACTTAACACAATAACCCCAAGTCAATCACACTTCCAGTGAAAGCAAACTGTCCACTTAGGAAACAACCAAAATCCAAAATTCATTAACCTGGATTTCTACAACAATTTGCTGATTCACTTAATGGCTAAATAAATAGATCAAAATCAGTGCGTTTATTATTATAATCTGGTTATTAGTCCTGAATTAGTTTAGTTAAATTAGTCCACCAACGTTTTTCACTGTATTGTTCCGTTTTGCTAGTGAGGTAATTCTTCTTTGTGTGTAACTGGATGTTGAGTAAAGGGTTAATTTTTATATCGTCTTATAGGCGGAGGAACAATAGGAAAATCTCCTCCAGCAATAGCTGCGCAACAAACACACAACCAGATATTAATTAGGCTTTTGTTTGCTTTTCTTCTCCTCTGACAAGTAAGTTTGTTTGTTTTATTGATTTTGTATTGTAATTCAGGTTAATGTGGCGTAATCATTGGTAAACAGGGGCTGTAGATCAAAGCGGGGCCTGTAGGACTAACTTGGAAAGCTACAATGCCCTCCGTGGTGCCAGTAACGGGCGGAGCTGTATTACTGTAACTGTTAAATTACGTCGTATTACTGTCGAGAACAAAGACTTTGATCAAACTTTTTTACATGCATGTTTGTTTTTGTGGTCGTGGCTCGATTTCCCGGAACAGTCGGCGCAGTTTCGCTCCCTGCTGCTGGTAGTGGCGCAGTCACTTTATTTTTTTTGGACGTTCACTCATAGGAGTAAAGTCGAGTTTCGTCCGCTTTGCAGCACACGTACGTCGAGTTTTCTCTCTGGTAGGTCACAGCACTTTCCTAATATGCGGAGGACCCCAAAAAAAGTTTAGAGGATTGCAAAAATGTCAACAAAGCGAATGAAAAGAGAGTTAAGTTCTGGATTTTTCATACACCAGCTTTACTCTGTTACTTCGCTTATATTCGTTTCATGATTTCTCAGTTTCGGTTTCAGAAAAACTATCCAAAGCCACTTTATTGGCTCCAGCCAGGCTTTTGTTTACACTAAATTCTGACCTGGGTCCAAAATTTGCAACGAAGCTTCGACGTGTTGAGCGTTCAGAGATGATTCTCTGCATACGTTGGTCGCGGTCAGTGATTATGGGAGTTAGTCTTGCTTCGTTTATTGTCAAAGCAGTCTGGCCATTTTCCTCTGACCTCTATAATCAACAAGGCATTTTCTGCAGGTCACTGAATTTTTCATTATGGACATTTTTCTGTAAACCTTAGAGA